ACAGACCAAAGCCAGTGGCCAGAAGCTGCAGTCTGTGAAACTCAGTAGATTTTGGGCTCATAGAAAATGGCCCCATTCTCAGAACCTACACTGATATAAGTCTTAAGGGACTTGTGAAATTCAGTGTAGGGTTCAGTTAAGAGAGGAATGATAAATCTCATACATAAGACTGGATCCAAGAAATGGATTAGTGAAGAGGTCTTGAGAGGCCAGTCCTCAACTCATTTATGTTTTAATTAAGACCATGAGAAACTAATCCCTGTAATAGTTCTTGTGATTTTTTTAATGCCTCATCTTTGCTTTCTATAACTATTTCCATAAAATTGCATACAATGGAATGACTTGAAAAATGATGAGATTTGTTCCCTTGTTTCTAAGGGGAGAAATGTAGGAGTAGAATAAAAATAGAAAAGAAAAATCCAAGTGGAGAAATTAGGAAAGAAAAGAGAAAAGGCAGAGAAGCATGCAGATAGAAGAACTGGTGATTGTTCACGAGCAACTGCGTTACTTCTTGTGCACCTGCAAGACAAAAAAATAAAAGCTGAGCCTCCACTAAGAATAACCTGGGATTCTTTCGTGTATCCTGATACCCCCTTGATCCCAGTACTGATGATGGTGCGTTACCAGTTGTCCCTGGGCTTGTTGGGTGAAGGCTGCCTGAAGGAGGGGAATGAGGATGGAGAAGGCCCCTTTACCTTGACCAGAGAGGGTTTCTATTTACCATAAATGAAGCATTTATACCTTCCAAATTAAAGTACAGGATCCTGAGAGTTTGTATCCAGCCACTCATTGTGTTAAAGAGATAGTTTGTGCACATAAAAAAACAACAGTGCATTTTAAAAAAAATTCTGTCTTACAAATTATACTTAAAGGAAAGCACTTTAAACAAATGTTGAATTCTAGTTGTACACTTCAGCATGCATATCCTTAGGGGTGAAGTGTATTGATGTCTGCTACTTATTTTGAAATGCATCCAAAAAACAAGACAGATTGATGGATGAATAGAAGAATGGTAATTGCATAGACTTGGGATACAGTGAGTAGAGTAAGACCTATTTATAGAGTCTGGATAGTTGGTATATGGTTGTTCACAATTGCTTTTATTTTTCCATATTTCTGTAGTTTTTCACCATAAAATGTTGGAAAAATTCATACTAGAGAGAAGTTCTTTCAAAAGACAGGGCATAGACATCAGATTATCAACCTTTTTTGAACATGTTAGGACGTAAGAGGGGCTCGTTGAATAATGGAAGTGTTTTCTTTTGTCTGTTTCTTTTGTCTCGCCTGCATTTTCCTTTTTCGCAGACTAGTACAGCACAGGTATTGGTATTTGGTTAAAGGCATATATTCATTACTTAGGGGGAAAATCCTGTGCTATTGTTCTTGTGAAATAAATTAACTAGAGAAACACAACTATGATTGTCAAGTATGAACACCCTATTTGACTATATATGAAATGTATTTATTCATGACAGTATTTGTTAACCAGTTAATAAGTGTTCAGTGGAAATTAACATATTGTCCATGAAGAATTTTGCTTTAGTTCAGCTTTAGCTTTAGGGTGTTTTGTTGTTGTTGTTGGGTTTTTTTTGGGGGGGGTTTGGGTTTGGGTTTTTTTTTTTTTTTTTTTTTTTTTTTTC